AGGCTCAAATATTCTGAAGGCGAGAATAATATTCTAACTTACGCATATATTTCCAGTGCTCAGAGCAATGCCCACAGCACAGTTGGGATTTAATATTTATTAGCTCGGCTACTATTTTTGCTGTTATGCAAATAAATACCTGTGTCTTCTGCTGAATTCTCAATATACTAAAATTCCACATCCTTTGTCCCAGCCACTGGGGCACAGGCTTTTGGGGGTAGACTTTCACATATAAAACTTTAAATTTGAAAAAAAAATGAAATAAATATTGTATTCTTAGATACAATAACAAAAGTGCAGCAGTGGGAATCTCCACCGATTGAATGCGCACACATCATGGCTATTGGGGTAGGTGTGACAGAATCAACATAGTGTGGTGAAGCACAAGACAGAAAATGAACAGAAACTCAGAAAACATGGCCTGCAGTTAGAAGACTCACACCCATCCTCTAATATTCAGGAGCCACTCTCAAATCTGTAAAATGTGAAAGTTTTTCAGATGAGACTCTCAGCATTTGCCTCAGGGTAGGCTTAAACTCCTGCCCCAGTCTCCCAAGTGCAAGGATGACAGGAGCTTCATACCTAGATCTGAAACGAGATGTTTGAAGAATAAATCCGAGACACGATAGCAACCTAGTGCAACCAGGGATCTTGCAGAGATGAATGTCTTTCGAAATTATGTTCATGGATATTTGTCTATCCTTCTAGCTACTGGTAGACTGCCAAAGTTGTGTTGCCAAGGATGACACACACACACATACACACACACATGAATATTTATCTACCCATCTAGCTACTGATAGGTCAATAGATAGGTCAATATTACTCTCATGTATCCCAGGCCGGACTCAAATTTGCTATGTTGCCAAGGATGACCTTAAACTCCTTGTAGTGATTTGAAAGAAATTGGCCTCCAAAGGGGTTCAATTCCCAGCAACCACATGGTGATTCACAACCATCTGTAATGGGATGTGATGCCCTCTTCTGGTGTCTCTGAAGACAGCTACAGTGGACTCATATATAATCAATCAACCAATCAATCTTATTTTTTTTTTAAAAAAAAGAGTTGCCATGGTAAATAAATAAAACAATTTTTAAAAAGTAAATAAATAAAGCAATTTTTAAAAAGTAGTTGCCATGGTCATGGTGTCTCTGCATAGCAATAGAAACCCTGAGACACTCCTTATCTTTCTGACTCTATCTCCTGAGAACAGTGTTACAAGCAAGTTTCACTGCAGCCAGGGCTCCATGCATGCCAGGCAAGCACTCACTCAACCGAGCTACATCTCCAGCTCAGTTCCTAATATTTTTATGTTAGACGATATTTATCTAGAGGGCCCAGCAAAGTAAGACCTAGTATTTGGTATTTACATAAGAAGAGATGATTCCTTGGAAATCTAAAAAAAAGAGGGAGAAAACCATTTCGATTCTATCCATATCTCTTTTTTTTCCATATCTCTTTTTAAAGAGATTTATTTTATTTCATGCATATCAATGTTTTGCATGTATGTATATGCACCACACACATGCCTGGTGATATCAGAGGCCAGAGACAGCATTAAGTCCCCTGGAACTGGAGTACAGATGGTTGTAGATTGTCATGTGGGTAGGGGAAACTAAACCTGGGTCCTCTGGGAGAACAGCTTGGGCTCTTCACTGCCAAGACATCTCTCCAGACACTCAATCTCTGCTCTATATAGGTAACATTAGCCTATCAGTAGCTAGATGAACAAACAGTCACATAGATATTTATATCTCCACATAGAGATTTAAAATATGCAGGTATATTTTGGTATCCGTCTATATTTTTAGCAATCTAAAATAACGTATTATAGAGGCTAGAGTTCTTAGAAGCATGCTACTTTGACAGGATTATGAAGCTTCGCGTGAAATCAGACGTTGTCATTGCTGTGTTCCACCCCGGCCTTATTCAAGTAGTACTTGTCATTCTTTCCCACCTTCTGTAACCTATTGTGACAAGAACAATGATGACATTAGTGTAGCTTGCTTTCCCTTTTGTCAAAACTTGTATCATATAACCAGCAGACAAGAGTACACTATTTGGTTCATAATGAGCTGTGTTTTGACTGCTTTAATTATTTCCCAATACTTTTCAGAGCTCACACTTATGTCGTTTAAGGAAAACAAACGCAAAGATCTGCCCTCTCATTTGGATTATAGAATACAGAGCATTTAGCTTTACGTTACTAAAATTTTTTTGTTGGGGGTGACTGTTCCTAAAGTCCTAGTGACAAACCAAGGTACAATTCTACTAAGGTCACTCTGGGTAATCAATGAGTTTACTGGGTTTCCTTACAGAACATACCTGAAGGGTTACTTGCAGGATGTTGGTGCCCTCCCAAAATGCCCCACTGTGAAGTTTTTACCCAGCAGAAATGATGGTCTTCCCACAGGCACATAAGTGGATCGCTCTCCCTAGTCCTGAGCCTTTCTCGTCTATATACTCTAATCCCTCCTGAGTCCATATACAAGTAGAGCAGAATCGTATACAACTAATTGGAGGAGTATCTGGATAATCCAAATAGAGGTGGGGTATGCCCTGAAACTGGAATTAGAGATATTTTTAAGCTACCGTGTGGGTACTAGGAATTGAACTTGAGTTCTCTGCAAAAACAGTTCAAGTTCTTAGAGATTCAGCTATCTCTTAAGCCCCCAGACTAATTTCTTTATCATCATCATCATCACCACCACCATCACCACCATCCTCCTCCTCATCATCGTCATTAAAGTAATGGGTTTCATTATGACATTTTCATGTGCACGTCCTTATACTTTGTTCTCGTTTTCTGTCCTTTCACTGCTCTCCTCTACTTCACACTCTATGCCCACTTCTGATTGGTTCTCTTCTTTCCCTCCAGTTACTTATGCCCTCTGCTTTCTTATTACAGGAATTCCATTACCTTTTCTATTTCCCCTCCCTTAAGATCTCTTCCTCTCCTCTCATGATCCCCTTTCTGGAATTATAATCGATATACACATACTCATGCATATACATAAACATGTGCATATACAATTTTAAATCTAGGTTCTACATGTAAAAGAGAATGTGAGGGAGGTACTTGTCTTTATGAGTCTAGTGTACCTTGTTCAACATAGTGATTTCTTTCCATTTTCATCTGTTCCCCTGCTAATGTCAGAGTATCACTCTTTCTTGTGGCTGCATGGAAGATCCCACTGTATATATGCACCATTGTTCTTTTATTTTTTTAGCCACTCATCAGGTGATGGACACTCAGCCTTTTTCATCTCCTGCCTACCATGAACAGCACAGCAACAAACCTGGAACAAGTACCTCTGTTATGTGTCTTCCAGATGCAGTCCGGAGAGTAGTTAGTTCAGCTGAGTCACATGGTAGTTCCATTTTTAGCTTTTTGAGAAACATCCATATTGAATACTATAGTGGCTACCCCTAATGTACATTCCCACTAAAAGTATATGGGTTCCTTTTGATGATACCCATCTTGACTGGGATGAGATGGAACCCTAAAGCAGTCTAAATTTGCATTTCCCTGATGGCTAAGGGTGCAGGACACTTCTAAAGTATGTATTGGTTATTTTCTTTCCTTCTTTTGAGAACTATCTATTCAGTTCATTGACCCATTTTTTTTATTGGATAATTTAGTTTCTTAGTATTTAAGTTTTGCTGCTCCTTATGTAACCTTGACATTAATCCTTTGTCTGATGTGTACATGGAAAAGAAATATTTCCTGTTCAGGAGACTGACTCATCACTCTGGGAATTGTTTCCATTATGGGGAAAAATCCTTTTTAATTTGTCAATTGTTAGGGCTATTTCCTGTGCATTTGGAATCTTGTTCAGGACTAATTCTTCCTTTTGCCTATTTGTTGAGATATTTTGCCTGTTTAGAGTAAACGGCTTCAAAGTTTCAGATATTTGATCCATTTTAATTGGTTTTTCTGCATGGTGAGTGTTTTAGTTAAGGTTTCCATTGCTGTGAAGAGACACTATGATCAAGGCAACTCTAATAAAGGACAACATCTAATTAGGGCTGGCTTACAGATTTAGAGGTTTAGTCCATTATTATCAAGGCAGGAAGCATGGCAAGGCAGGCATGATGCTGCTGGAGGAGCCAAGAGTTTGACATCTTGTTCCAAATGCAAACAGAAGACTGGCTTCCAGGCATTAAGAGGAAGTTCTCTCAAAACCCACCCCCATAGTGACACATGTTCTCCAACAAGGCCACACCTCCTAATAGTGCTACTCCCTGGCCCAAGCATATTCAAACTACCACAGTGAGGAATATGGATCTAAATTTCATTCTTTTACATGCAGAAATCTGGTTTTCCCAGCACTGTGTTAAAGGTGTACACCTACCCTGAGCCTAGCATAGCTTGATCTTAATCTTCTAATGAGATCCTTTAATACAATTTCTCATGTTGTAGTAACCCATGACCATAAAATTATTTCATTGCTATTTCCTAAGTGTATTTTTGCTGTGGTTATGAATCATAATGTAAATGTATGTATTTTCCAGTGGTCTCAGGTAGCCCCTGTGAACCTCTGTGTTCTTCAACCCCCAAAGGAGTCTCCATCTACATGTTGAGAATTGATGGTCTAGAAAATGTACAATATCTTAAACAGACTCATTTCTGACCACCCAAATCATTCTTCACTTTGAAAATATTTTAAGGAATAAGAAAAAAAGAGCTGATCAAAATGCTCAGAATGTTCCTTGTGTTCCACGGAACTGAAAGTATACTGTATTCAAGGTATGTTCTTGGCAGCAATGAGTAGCTGTCTGCTTTAGAGAGATGCTCACTCAGAAAGTATCTGTAAGGGTTATAGATCTCCATTCATCGATAGAATTGCCCAGCTGAACAAAATAAACTGTTAACCCTGTTACTAAAAGTTACAAGAACAGAATTTGCCAGGGTTAGGTAAAATAAAAACAATTTGCATAGTCATCTCAACACAATGTTTATTTTTTTCTTAGACTTGATGTCTAAGAAATGGGCATGCATATTTCAGCCTGGCCCTTTCTTCCTTTGATGGCAGGTGGCTGGGAGCCTGCAAGACTGTGGAGGTGAAACTGATGTTCTAAAGTCTGACAGTCTGGCTTGGGGCAGGAGACAAGAAGACTCTGGGCATAGACTCTTTCATCTGCAAGCCAGAGAAAATAGAGTAATGATTGTGCCCCTACTCAGATTGGCCTCTCTTCACAAGAACTGTGAGAATAAAAAGAAGCAACATAGAGGCATAGCTGCTTACCAAGTATTTGATGAGTGTGAACCTTGTTTTTCTGTTCAGTATGAGAAAAACAATGTTTGGGACTAAGGCGATGGCTCAGTGGGTAAGCAGAGCAACTGATGCAGAAGACATGGGCCTGAGTTCAAAAACACAGCACACATGTAGAAAGCCAGGTGTGCTTGTAACCCCAGTGATGCTGGGGGAGGTGAAGAGAAGAGGATCACTGGACTTGTGGGCCTGATTAGCTTCAGGTTTAGTGAGAGACTTCGTCTCATGAATAATGTGGAGAGTATAGAGCCAGATACCCAACATTCTCCTCTGGCCTCTGGGCATGGGCACACATATGCATGTGCCACACACATACATAAACAAATAAATAATATATGTGGTTATCTTATCTCTTTCATAGGATTCATGTGCCTTATCTATCAACTACAAAATAGAGATTTTAAAAAGACAACAACAATCAAATATCAACGATACAGATAGTTTTCCAGTGGCCCCAACCTGCTCTCCAAACACTCTTATTCTAAAACTTGTTATTCTTAGTTGGGCAAGTCACTTCCTCTCACTTGATTTGAACTCCAACTATGTCTTAAGGTGTGGATTGAATCACGCCTCTTCAGTGACACCTTTCTGACTTCAACAGCAAGTCCCGTGTTTCCCACTCATGAGTTTAATAGAACACCTGTACCAGCCTTTCTCAGTTTTCTCTTGCATGAGACAACACTCACAGGTTCAATACACAACCATGAATACCCAGAAAAGATGTGAAAACTAAATTAACCGAGTCTGGTTGTAGTTACTGTTCCTCATTTCTAGTAAAGAAGATAAATCATTGGGTGGTATCATAGGAAGTCTTCAAAAAGGAAAAATAACTCTGATGAAATGGAGAACTTTTGTAGTAAAAATTATCTCGGTCTTAGGAGAGAGAGCGCACACAAACATTCTGCTGGTGATGTAAATGCACTGAAGTATGAGAGCACTTTCCTATAGTACACGGCAGAGTAGAAGAGCCTTTCCAGTACTGTGGACAGACATTGTGAGAGGACAAAGGTGGTGTGTGTCTGTGTACATGTGTGTGCATCCATGAGCATATGTGTACACCTCTGTGAATAAAGAATTTGGGAAGAGAAAATAGACTTCATGGTGTAAAAGTGGGAGTCTGGGAAAGTCAGGATAGACAGAGGAAAGGAGGGCACCAGTAAAGGTATAAAAACAAAGGGCATGCCGGGCAGTGGTGGCGCATGCCTTTAATCCCAGCACTTGGGAGGCAGTGGCAGGAGGATTTCTGAGTTCAAGGCCAGCCTGGTCTACAGAGTGAGCTCCAGGACAGCCAGGACTATACAGAGAAACCCTGTCTCGAAAAACCAAAAAAAAAAAGGGGGGGGGGCATTAAGGGCATTTAGGCTGCTTGGCATTCAGTTCTGTTTTCTCTCCAGTTAAAATGGAAATTTCCTGAACTAAATGAGGTATTACAGATTATTCTTTTTACTTACTTACTTACTTATTTACTTATTTTTTGATTTTTCAAGACAGGGTTTCTCTGTGTAGCCCTGGCTGTCCTGGAACTCACTCTGTAGATCAGGCTGGCCTTGAATTCTGAAATCCACCTGTCTCTGCCTCCCAAGTGCTGGGATTAAAGGCGTGTGCCACCACTGCCCGGAAGTACAGATTATAGTCTACTTAATGTTTTATATGTGATATACTTCTGTACAATACAGCTGCTAATTCACATCAGGTTACTGGTATGTCACCATTATCAAACCCTAAAAATGCATTTCATATTTATATATTTATTTATAGACAAGCTTTGGAGTCCAAATTACTCTGGAACTCATGGTTCCCTTGCTTCAACTACCCAAGTGCTAGAGTCACTGTACATGCGATATTCAAGGACAAATAGTGTTTTCATGTGTGTAGCTAATGTTTTCATTTTTGTGACTGCTCTTCAATAAATTTCTAATGCATGGTTCATTTTATTTTGGGTTTCTTATGTTATTTGCACTTTGCATGATGGCAGATGGTACTTGGGCAGTATCATGATAAACAGCATTGAGTACTTGAGTACAGAGGCTCCCTAACACTTTGATATGTGTGCATTAGTTTTCTAGGGCTTATGCAATGAAGTTCCAAAGGGTGAAAGCCTAGATATCAGAAACTTACTTCCCACAGTCTACAGGGCTGGATGCCTAACATCAACAGTGAGCCTTCTGAAGGTTCTAGGACAGGACCCTCGTCCACTTCTCTACACCTTCTCATGCCTTCCTGTGATCCCTGGTATTTCATTGTTTTTAATACAAAACTGATTTGGAGTCTTGGCTGACTATGTGAAAGAAGTGGAACTTCTTTAAAATTTGTTATTGTAGGGCTGGAGAGATGGCTCAGTTGTTAAGAGGCTTACTGCTCTTCCAGAGGGCCTGAGTTCAGTTCCCAGAACCATGGTGGTCAACTTACAAGTACCTACAACTCCAACTCCAGGGACTCCTAAGTCTTCTGAACTCCTGCCATGCACTCACACACCCCTTAACTCATATCACACACAGAGAAACTAAAGGATAATTTTAAAAAAATATGTTATTGTGAGTAACAAAGGAATGAGGTAAAATAGGTAGAATCTCTTCAACAGTGGAGTAACCCTGCATTTAGCATATGTGCGAGTCAAAGCTATCTAGGCTCTGCTATTTCTTTCAATCATAGATTTTGATTTTTGAAGTAAATGGAGACTAGATTAAGTTTATCATGGCAAAGAATATTATGCTTTCAATAAAAAAAATAAATTACATACCCAGACATTGGTAGCGCACGCCTTTAATCCCAGCACTCTGGAGGCAGAGGCAGGTGCATCTACGAGTTTGAGGCCAGTCTGATCTACAGAGGGAATTCCAGAATAGCCAGGGCTACACAGAGAAACCCTGTCTGGAAAACCATAAACAAAACAAACAAATATATAACAGTGAAGCTTAGCTTATAAATACTCTCAAAATGGGTAACAGAGGAGAGATTAACTTCAAGTTGGAGAAATGGTTCAGCAGTTAAGAGCACTGGCTTCTCTCTCTTCCAGAGGATCCAGGTTCAGTTCATAGCAACTACATGGCAGTTCACAACCATCTGTAACTCAGTTTCATGAAATCTGACAACAGTCCCTCTGCTGGCACTAGGCAAGTGTCGAACAGACATGAAATCAAAATACCCATACACATAACAGAAAGCAAAACATAAATATAAATAAATAAATAAATAAATCCTTAAAAGTTCCAGCCTCATCTTTATGGGAAACTGTTAAGACCATCACCTTCTTATCACACAGACTTTCATAATCAACTTTTAAACTTGTGACAATAATATCATATCTTCAGAATAATTTTTTGTTTGCTATCTTTATTCTGAGGGGATAGACAGCACAGCTAGCTGCTTAACCAGTTTTCATAATTATCAAGATGAAACTTGTCTTTGCAGTATGGCAGTCTGCTGATCTTAAGAAATTTGCCTGCAAAACTTTGGAATCACTTGTGAACTGATTATTCAAACATAAATAAATTCTAAACTTTTATCGTCGTGCATTTCCAAAAAAAAAAAAAAAAGCTGAAAAGTTAGAAGGTTGAAAGGTTTTTTTTTTTTTTCATTAAACCTAAAACATCTTTTTGGAAATTGCAAAATGGAAACAGTGTTTTTAACACTGTGTTAATAGAGTGGGATGAATAATCATATATTGGTGCTATAGTTAGCATATGGAAACAGTCATCATCAACAGCTGCTGAAGCTCATTGGCATCCATCTCACCTATGTCATACACTAAGGACAGAAACAGTGTCCTTACACACAGTGCTTTAGTCAAACACCCGGGAGGTGGGTGGCTTACACACATGACCCCATGTCAACTTGTCATGCGCTGGCAGTCATACTCAAAAAGGTAATAACTTGAAAGAGGCCAAGAACAAAGTCACTCCTGGGAGGTAGAATAATGGAAAATGTGGCTTTGGAGTCCAATGGTTCTGAATTCAATCTCTGCTTGTACTCCTTACTACCTGTACAAGAGTGAGCAAGTCACAGTCTCTCCAAAACCAGTATGGGTGTGTGTGTGTGTGTGTGTGATGGGGATGAGTGTGTTTAGTTATAAAGTCCAGACTGGCACAGCAGCCATGATCCTCCAATTCCAGTCTCATAAGCACTTGGCATTTCCAGGTATGAACAACTATGCTCAGATCACAAACAGCATTCTTATGTCCCACCTTACTGGAGGAATCAAAATAGTTACCTGGCATGTAGCAGTTGTTCTCTGTATTTTAATTATTAAGGCTCAGTGCAAATTTCAAAAATAAAGTAAAATTTAAAAAATTAGTATAAGCAAACACTCTATAGAAACAGATACATACATAGTTTAGTGTATTTACTACATACCAGGGTAACATAAATACTTTACAAAATTAGTTTAAGTTCTCACTAGCCTATTCTATGTACATATTATTGCTCCCAAATTAGATATGAAGAAACAGCAGCTTATTGACATTGAAATATTTGTTAAGGATCACATAGGGTGGAGTTTGGTTTCAAAAGTAGAACATACACTCTAAATAGTCATTTAATTCCAAAGATGACTGGATAATACTTTTGGATGGGGGTTGACTTTAATATCAGCCATCAATACCCTCCACGAACGATGGTATTACTGTGACTTCCTTGTTGGACTCTGACCTCTGTAAAGTTAAGATACTTATACTGCAGCTAAACTTTAGCCAAACTTACAGAACTGGGAAGAGAGGGGATAGTCAGTGGGTAAGAGCACTTGCTGTGGAGAACTTGAGTATGAGCTCAGGGCCCCACATGGTGGATGGACCCCAGGAAACTGTCCTCTCATTTCCACATGCCTCACACCCCCCCCAACATAAATAAGTAACATAAATAAATACAATTTAAATTAAGAAAAATCTTACAAACCTTGCACAAATCTAGTGTATTAGTTTAAAAGAAAATCAAGCCATATGTGGTGATGTATGTCTTTAATCTTCCCACTTGGGAAGTAGAAGCAGAAACACCTCTGTAAGCCAGAGGCCAGACTGGTCTACATGGCCAGTTTCCAGGTCATCATCGGGGGTTATACAATGAGACTCTGTCTCAAAAAAAAAAAAAGAAAGAAAGAAAGATAAAGAAGGAAGGAAGGAAAGAAAAGGAAAGAGAAAAGAAAAAAAGAAAAGAAAGTAAAGAAACAAATCTAGCCTTTATTCCCAGCACATGGGAGGCAGAGACAGACAAATCTCAGAGTTCAAGGCCAGCCTTGGCTACATAAGAGCTACAGACCAAGTTCCAGGACAGCCAGGGCTACATAGAGAAACCCTATCTTGAAATAAACAAACAAACAAACAAACAAACAAGCAAATCTATTGCCTTTGGGTATAATTTCAATCTGTTTTGTTTCCATTATTATAATAAAGAAAAACTATGATTAAATACTCTTTTTTTTTCAGTGAGTTTTCTTCATAATCAAATATTTTGACATTGAAAGATCTACATTGTGTGTACTCAGCTTACAGTCCTAGTTGACCACTTGAGGTATCAATTTATGCCAAGAGGCCATGGGTCAAGAATCAGAAAACGACTGTGGGGTAGAAGCTTAGATGTATTCACTTGTGGGCAAATGAGGTGTCTTCCTGCCTGCTCCGTGGGCTCCTCAAGTTTTACTTCAGCATAAACTCTCTGGATCAGAAATTAGTATTCTGGACACTGCCTCATCTGAGGAGTGTCTAACCACTAGGATTCCAGCTGCAGCCTCTGAATATGAGGTCCTGCATCTCTTTCCTCATTTCAAGGGACCAGAGATTTACATGTTTCTGGGCTGGAGCCAGCCCCAGTTGTCATTTGGCTGGAAGGCTAGTGTGGTTTTCTCCCAAGATAAGAGTTTGGAGATCTGACCTATTTCAGAGCTATGCACAGGGGAATTAACAGCCTTGTGATTAAGTGAAGCAGCCTGATGAAGAAAGAGGCCACAGACTCCAAGTGTTTGCTCCCCAAGTGTACCAAGAACTTATCCCAGTTTTCAGTCAGTGGAGTTCCAGTCATTGTGCATACTCAGAGCAGTGTAGATTGCTTTGAGAAATGGATAAAGATATAGTCCCTGCCCTTGAAGATCTGGCTATTGCTTTTAGAAATAAGTCGAGTTTCTAGACATCAAAAAGTAGCGTGTCATTTACAACAAGTAACTTGTCAAAGCACAGTTTCTAAGGAGATTCGTGGAAATAACATACACACAGCTTAAGTTATTCCTAATACCTCAGAAAGGGCAGCTACCTATGGCTAATCCCCACACAAAGACGTCTTTTAGGTAAGAAGTTTGCTCACATTTCCCTGGCACAGCATCCGTTGCAAGATGTACTTTTCATCAATCAGAATTATAGCTAGAAAACAGAGAACAAGTCTACAAAATAGAGGCTTGAAAAATGAGCCCTCTCCCTTTTAAAACCATGACACCTTTTGCCACCAGAACTTTGGCAGAATGCCCTTGAAAATGACCTTTTACTATAGCCAAAGCTTGCTCTCCTCTATACTAAGGTACTGTCTTAGTTTGGGCTTTACTGCTGTGAACAGACACCATGACCAAGGCAATCCTTATAAAAACAACATTTAATTGGGGCTGACTTATAGGTTCAGTCTGTTATCATCAAAGCAGGAGCATGGTAGTGTCCAGGCAGGCATGGTGCAGTAGGAGCTGAGAGTGCTGCTTCTTCTAGACTAGCTTCCAGGCAGCTAGGAAGAGGGTCTTAAAGCCCATGCCCACAGCCCTGGGCCAAACATATTCAAACCTCCACACGTTCACACTTATCTCTGGTAACTGGATCTCTTTGCAATGGAATGGAGGATCAACAATTTGATTTCTGCTGCTGCTGTCTCTCTTAGGTTTTTTTTTTTTTTGGTTTCTCGAGACAAGGTTTCTCTGTGTAGCCCTGGCTGTCCTGGAACTCACTCTGTAGATCTGTAGACCAGGCTGGCCTCGAACTCAGAAATCCACCTGCCTCTGCCTCCCTAGTGCTGGGATTAAAGGCATGTGCCACCACTGCCCAGCTCTCTTAGTTCGTTTAAAAGGCTTTCAGCAGTTTGGTTTTACTGGAGAAGGTGACCAGTGGTGTGTTTACCCTGGATAAGGGGGGGATCAGTATGTTTCATGGTAAAATGTGCTCTCAAACATCTGAGACACACATCTGCCCTTAGGAAGCTGAATGGAGACAGGCGAATCATGAGAGGGGTGGGAGGAATGGGGATTCTTACCAATAGGCAGGTGGGGTAGGCCATATGGTGTGCAGTGATGAGGTGTGCTTCATCATTGCTGTTCTGACTCTGGCTCATGATGGCTCATGATGTTTGTGTCTTTTAGGGACCCTCTAGAGGAGAACAACTGCAGAGAAAATAGAGCTGCTGGTAAATGGTTTTGGTTTCCAGACCCAATTTTCCAACTTCATATTCATAGATAAACAAAGAGGAGATGTTTTACTTCTTCTTCTCCTGTGGTAGTTCTTATCCCTAGAAGTTAACACAGAATGCAGGACCAAATCTGTATGGAAATAGCTGAAATTATTTTTTTTTCAAGAGCTAAGGGTTATACTAAGATGTAAAGGGTAAAAAAGATAGACCCAAGTCTCAAAACGACATAACTCAGGACAGGGTTTGGCGATATTTGTGGGCTAACGGGGGTAGTTTAAGGCATGGGGAATTGATTGGAGGCGAAGTAACCATGTGTAATTAAACTTTATGGCACATATTCAGAAAATGACAGTGTTAGTATTATTTGAGGGTCAAGTTTTGGTCTTCTAACCTCAAAAATTCAATCACTGGGCATTTGTGCAGGCCTAAGTAAAGAGTTACTGAATTTACCAGGCAGTGGTGGCATATGCCTTTAATTCCAGCACTTGGGAGGCACAGACAGGTGGATCTCCGAGAGTTTGAGGTCTATAGAGTTCTAGAACAGCTAGAGATACACAGAGAAATCCTGCCTTGAAAAACAAAAACAAGCCGGGCGGTGGAGGCGCACGCCTTTAATCCCAACACTTGGGAGGCAGAGGCAGGTGGATTTCTGAGTCTGGTCTACCGAGTGAGTTCCAGGACAGCCAGGGCTACACAGAGAAACCCTGTCTTGAAAAACAAAAACAAAAAACAAAAAACAAAAACAAACAAACAAATAAACAAAATTACTGAATTAAACAAAAGTAGTGTTCAAGTCCCTGGAAAGTCACTTAGGTAGCAGCCATTCTCATTGAGGGCTATTTAATAAAAACCTAGTGGGAGACTCATAACATAGTGCTCAGTTACATGACCGTCCAAAGTCAGTTTAAAGCAAATACCTGAAAGCAAATGGGGCTAGAAGGTTCATTCGCTCCCTAGTCTACAAGAAATTTAAGAGATTATTTTATTGGCATTCTTATAGGAAGAATTCTATTTGGCATTTAATACATGATGACCCAAAGGAATTTCAGAATTAAATTTTATGACTAATGGTGACTACATTGTCCCCCAACTCATGCTTTGCTTTTGTGCTCATGTATTTCTTACCTGCCATACATAATCCTTTGAGGGTGAGTATTAGTTGTCCCCCCATATTGCCAAAGAGAAAACTAGAGATCAAAGGAATTAAGTAGTATCTTCTGACTCAGGCAGGTTGTAAACTGAAGTTGGAGCCACAACTTAAAGCTTTTGACTCTATGCCTTTAATGCCTGCACTCTGGAGGCAGCAGCATGTGTATCTCTGAGTTGGAGACCAGCCTGATCTATATAGTGAGTTCCAGGACAACCAGAGTTATGTAGAAAACCTGTCTTAAAAAAAAACTCAAACAAACAAACAAATGTAATTTTAATTCTTGGGTAAAAAGAGTAAAACATTTGTGATGTTAGCTTTTTTTTGGGGGGGGGATTGGTTTATGCAACTCTTTCACGTTTATTTTCTGACATGAACGTCAGTTTTCTCTTTGTCAAGGATAATCCTTGTTTCATTTCATGAGTGATTCCTTTTCTGAATGAACAAGTGACCTGCAACTGCAATCACATATGTTGACATGTCATAGTATGCAATAACTTCTGTCCTGTATGTGAGTGTTGTGTATATAAATGACTGTGTTTATGAGATAGCTGTAAGTTCAACTGGCCTCAGCCAGGTCTGTCCTGCCTGCCAGCTGTGTGACTTTGGATAAGAAGCTGGTCTCTAATCTTAGCATCAGATCAGAAGGTTGCTGGCTGCTGAGAATTTCTTTCTTTCTTTTCTTTCTTTTTTCTTTTCTTTTTGAGACAGGGTTTCTCCGTGTTGCCTTGGCTGTCCTGAAACTTGATCTGTAGACCAGGCTGGCCTTGAACTCAGAGACCCACCTGTTGCTGCCTCTTGAGTGCTGAAATTAAAAGTGACCATGGGTGGCTATTGCTGGGAATTTTTTTAAATATTAAAATGTGAATGATGTTGCAAATATTAAGGTCATGTAAAAGTAAGATATTTTTCAGTTACTTCCCTCAGGTTAAGTGCTGAAGAAAGGATGGCTTCCCATCAGAAGCAAATAAAGTATTATTTAAATGATGGTAAAAGAAAAAGAGGGCTGGGGTTGGAGCTCAGTGGCGGAGTGCTTGCCTAGTTCAATCTCCAGCACTCTACAAGAAAAACAAAACAAATTTGGCCAAGTATGGTGGTGTCGCATACCTATAAACCCAACATCCAGGAAGTTTGTGGCAATATGCAAAAAAATTCCCAGTAATAGCCAGCCATGGTCACCTTCAATTCCAGCACTCAAGAGGCAGAGACTGGTGGGTCTCTGAGTTCAAGGCCAGCCTGGTCTACAGATCAAGTTTCAGGACAGCCAAGGGGCAGGAGAATCACCACAAATTTCAGGAAAGTCTGAATTATTATACAGTGAGTTCCAGACCATCCTAGGCTATATGCTGAGCTCCCGAGTGTGTATCTAACTTGCTGACACGATAATGACCAGTAATGCTAAGACAGCAAATGGCAATGTGCTTCAAACGGACTTTTAACACTGGGATGTTGAGAACATGAGATGGTTTCATGTAAGAAGAACAGGACTTGTTAAGACCTGAGAGGGTATGCACGATGACTTAGGAGTATGTCAGTGCAGACTTTGTAGGAGCCAACCCACAGGTTCAAGGCTGACTCTGCTGGCTTCTGGCCTTGCTATGATTTTGTTTCCCCACCAATATTTTAAGGTCTTTGTAGGAGCTAAGTGAGTTATTTGGGATCACTTGCTTTGAACAGTGCTTGAGTTATAGTTCCATATGGGACTCTTGAGTTATATGAGTGAAGATTATATTAATTGTTCAAGAGTTTCATCCTTAACCACTTCCTCCTATTTGAGTTGGTCTCCTAGGGCACAATCTCCTTGGTGAATCTCTGGATTCTGCTAACCTATTGTGTGGGACCACGTGCAGCTCTTTTTTGCCTTATACCATAAGTTTCCTTCTCTGCTCCTGTTCCCGGGATTTATCATCAGTGGGACCACTCTTTTTATGACCTCACTTCTGCTCCTGAGGCCTCATCTACTAACTTTGTTTCAAGGTCTTTACTCCTTGTCAATCTTGCTCTTGGTTCTACGTTCAGTCTTGCTCTGGACCCTGGTGGGAGTCAGAGGTGAGGCTGTCCTTTCCAACAGCACTTAGCTTGAAAAGCAGAAAGTAAATGCTCTTGATTTTCAGATATACCCAATTTAATATATCTGGAGTCATGCCTGGTGGAGATTTCACTTCTGATTGAAATGTCTGATTGGAATTGAGAAGGAAACCAGGCTGAAAGAAACTAGTATCATCAAAGTAGTCCACATGGGGGCTGTGAAGCCACCATTCAGAAAGGAGACTGGAGAGGAAGAACCTTGAGGGGTATCTAGTTAGGGAGAGACAGAGGATTCTAGACATCAAGTACCAGAATGATTGATGTCACTGGAATGGGGAGAAGGGTTTGATGGAGATGGCAATACCCGAGAAAGGGTCACTTAGTTAAAAGATAATCTGGAGGCAAGAATAGATGTTTGAGGCAGACAGGATCCCAAGGATCCAAAGAAATGGGTGGCTTAATTAAACGGACAGGGAAACCGAAAGTGAAGAGGATGGTTTCAATCCATGTAGGTCTGTCCATCAGACTGTGTGTCTATGTCCTGGGCCTGGGTTCAGGGCAGCGTGCGGGGCAGAGTTTTTTCACTGACCCATGCCAGGTGAAGGCCGAGCATCCGCAAACTACCGCGAGGCTGCAAGGTCAGGAGCGGGAGTTCGGGCCACCTGATGCAGTCTCTTCCATCAACAGTATTTACTCGAATAACTTTCCACACTGCCAGGCGACAGCACTTGTTGCTCAAGGGACACTAAGTGATGCAGGAGCCAAGCGCTGCGTCTTTCCGCTAGTCACTCGTCGCGACCGCGGCGTACCTAGAGGTGACGAACAGAACAGCCTTTGGAGTCCTGAGGGTTGCTTGGGTGAGGAGAGTGTTTCCGGAGACCCCGCCAAGGTGGCCAGCCTGGAGTCCCTCCTTCACCCCGCAAGGTTATCTCCCCCACCTCTCAAACCCAGCCGCTCTCTACCGCGGCTCACCTCGCCCACTTATCTCTTGCGGCGGACTTCCCGGCCGGGCGGGGACGCTATCGGACTAGAAGCACGTCTAGGCGGACGCGCGGGCCACGCCTGTTAAGGAAATGATGCAACGCTTGAGCCTGGCAGCTAAAGTTCTGTCGCGCCGAAAGGAGGAAGTCCCGCCCACCCCCGACGGCGGAAGCCCCGCCCACTCCGACGGCGGAAGTCCGGTCCTCCGCTTCTCAGGGGTTCCTCGTGCGTTCCACCGCCGGCATGGCGCATTACAACTTCAAGAAGATTACGGTGGTGCCGTCTGCCAAGGTAAGGGTGACAGAGGTCGTTCACGCTGATTTCCCTTTCCCTGACAAGTCGCCAGGGAGGGTTCAGGCCTGTTTCCCCGAGACTGGGGGAGGGAGGATACTGTGGATCCACTCGGCCCTCAGTGCTGCGCTCCACTTGCTAGGCTTTGTACTCGGGACCCTCGGAGATCAGTCCCACTCTCTGAAACCAAATTCCTCTCCCTCTGTCCATGGGTGCCCCGAACCCTAGAATCCCTCCAAGACATCAGGACCAGAGCCTGTGATTCTCGTATGGCTTGCCGACGTGACAACTGTCTGGTTGGTGGCCACAGTAAGGAGCAAGGCAAGAACCTGATGTGGTCAGTGGTGAGCGTCTTGAGACCCCTTGCTTTAGGATTCTAGGTTCAGACGTAGTACCCTTCCCTGTAAGTAAAACTTGATTCGTGCTGTCACAGTCTAAAAAAATTTTAGGTAGTTGTCATTTGTCGTTGGACTTAAAAGATGCCATTGGCTTTAAGCACACAAGTAGCCAGGCCAAATTTATGTAACGTAGCAAGATAAGTTCCTCCAAGATGTCGAGTATTAGGTAGACTAAAGAACCTAAAAGGATACACGTGTTTCTCTGGCAAGACATGGGCGTTGAATTGCAAGATCAATTAGAGGAACTAATGTGACTATCATTAAGTTTATACCAGTGTAGGTATTTAAGACATCCCCTCTGAATGAGCTTATTTTGAAGTTTTGTAAAGAACTAGTATTTTCTGGTGGGCGTGGTGGTGCGCACCTTTAGTCCCAGCATCAGGGAGGCAGAGGCAAATGAATCTCTGAAAGATCCTATCTCAAAAAGACACATATATTTCATTAGTAACATAGAGTTGTTTTCCTTACACTTCTCTGTATTTCTCCTTTCTTCATCTTTCTGATAACCATTCTGGTACGTTTCTCACGAGTTTGTTGTAATTGGAAAGAAACCACAGGTTGGAATCACATCTTGTGTTTTAGCCCCTCATGACCGCCTCATCCACTTCTCAAGCGCACGTTGAAGGAACTCTTACACTTTGTCACTGGAGTTCATTGGGTCAAACGAACTTTGTAATTGACCTGGTAAAGAATTTAGCACAGTGTGTATCTGTTTCCCTGAATGAGGTCTGTTTCTAGGAAACAGCTGAGTGGGCATATGTGTAGATGAGTGATGGGAATCCCTTGGTGGTTGGAAATAAAAACTCAATCTGAGGTACTTTTGTAAAAGTGTGTGCTAGGTTCTGTGTATAGATATACATAAGAATAGTCTGCGTCTTTAAATGCATTTATACCCACAGCAGTATCATGGGAAAGTGTGTGAAATTCAGTTGGCCGTCTGTGTCAATTGAGTTCAAATCCAGATTCAACCAACCACAGTTCAAAAACACTATTTGAAAATTGCATCTATATTTAATGTGCACAGACTTTATTTTTCCTTTTTTGTTTGTTTATTTGTTTTCTTTATTTTTGGCTGCCATGGCTGGCCTGGAACTTACAGAAACATGCCTGTTTCTGCCTCAGAGTATTAGGATTAAAGGCATGAGCCGCCATGCACAAGGCCATATATGACAAATATATGTGGATTCTTTTACATACAAGTACTGTGCCACTTTATAAAATTACTTCAAATATTTCTCTGTTTTGGTGGGTGAGGGCTTGGAGGGAGGAACCCTGACTATAAACTATAAATATCAGGGATTTGGGCAGTGGTGGTACTTGCCTTTAATCCTAGTACTCAGGAGGCAAAGGCAGGAGATCTCTGTGAATTTGAGGCTAGCCTGGTGTATAGAGCAAGTTCCAGGACAGCCAAGGCTACACACAGAAACCCTGTTTAGGAGAAAAAAACAAAGAACAGAGACTATACTGATAGATGGGTGAGTCTGGAGAAGCTTTTCAGTAGGCAACTTTTACTGTCTCCCTAAAGCTGTGAGGACCATGGAAAGGCACAGAGTAGAGGAGCAGGCCTGAGTGTTCATGCTCTTCATAATCTTTGACAGACTGTATTATGATTACCTGCTTGCCTTTGGTTTTGCTTCACCAGATCTTGGTGTCTTGTTCACTGTTTTGTTTTCAGCATTGTGTTCATGCTATCCTTTATTATAGAAAATGATCAATATTGTTGAATTAATGGAAATGATGGAGGAAAAGTAGAACAGCTTTATATATGGTTGGGTAAAAGTGAATAAGTACAAATATCTCAAATCCTCAAATAGTCTCCTCAACGTACATAGGAAATTTTAGATGATGGGTTTTAGTTTTTTTCATTTTATACCCCCTTAAAATCAAAGCTACAAAGTCCTTGAAATTGAAGAACTGGCTCTCTTTCTTCTGATTTATTCTTGAGTTTTCTTAGGAATTTGAAAGTTAAAATAGCATTTTAAAAAAATGGGGTAAAATAAATCTCAGCAACCATTAGCAAGTCCTCCCCTCCACCCAGTTTTTATTGGAGGGGTGACAAGGGAGGGGTCTCCTCCCTTCATCAGTTGGGAGTATTCACAGGTTTTTCAGCCACTTCAAACGAGGGTCCTGGGGTGACTGGGCACATCAAGCTCACTCCCATTATCAGGGACAGGGGCTGGGTATTTGTAAGGTGTGGCCTGGTTGATCATGGTGGCATACTTGGTGTAGGGGCTGAGTGAGGGCATAATTAAAGCAGGGCTTTGGCACTTAAGGACTGTCCCTTTCACTCAGGCATTGAGGAATGTGGAGACTCTCCCAACTATCTTAGTCTTGGTGATGAGTACCAAGTTTTCATAAAGACCAGAAACTATAAAGATGACCCAAGTTGTATATAAATCAATTGATTTTGAAAAAGTAAATTTTGTAGTTTAAACCATGTGGTACTGGATTAATGTTTTAAGACGGTTATAAGCAAATGGATAGAAAGTACATGTTGGAATTTTGTCTTAATTATTTTCTTTAATCTTAGGACTTTATTGACCTGACATTATCCAAGACTCAACGAAAGACTCCAACAGTTATTCATAAACATTATCAGATTCATCGAATTCGACATTTTTATATGAGAAAAGTCAAATTTACTCAGCAGAATTACCATGACAGACTGTCACAGATTCTGTCAGATTTCCCCAAGTTGGATGTAAGTGACTTATACAATATAAGCCTTCAGAGAGTCATACTTGCCAGATTGATGTATTAATTTGACAGAGGAGAAATGAAATAACTGATCTATCAGTTACTTCTCTTCCTGCGAACGTTAGTGAAATGTTTTAGGGATCCCCCCACCGCTTGTGTGTGCTTGCATGTAGAACCCAGTGTCTGTGGGGAGAACTGGGTCCTAAGTACTGTCACTGTAATAGGATGGAGGTTAGTGTGATTATAAGTGATTGCTTGTTTCCTTAGGGGTGATTTAACAGGGATATTGGCCAGGAGAGGGGCCTCTGGGGAAGGTTTGAAGAAAGAGGAAAGGGAGCGTCTTCTCTCCTGTTTCTTACATAAGGCTAAGAAACTGTCAGAGCAGAGTGACAATGTGTATTTCATCTTTTCATTATAGGATATCCATCCATTTTATGCTGACCTGATGAATATTCTCTATGACAAGGATCACTACAAGTTGGCTCTAGGTCAAATAAATATTGCCAAAAACTTGGTGGACAAGTAAGGTATTTTCTTACTATAGTATCTTACAAGTTATTATCAAAAAATACAAACCCTTAGATGTTTTCTCTTTTTCTAAGTGTTGCTAAAGATTATGTGCGACTGATGAAATATGGTGATTCTCTGTACCGATGCAAGCAGCTGAAGCGTGCTGCCCTTGGACGAATGTGTACTATCATCAAGAGACAGAGGCAGAGTTTGGAGTATTTGGAACAAGGTACTTGTTATACATAAAGCAAAGGGTTTTACTATGTTCTTTCATGTTTGGGACTTTTGTTTTTTTGTTTTGTTGTGTTGTGTTTTGTTTTGTTTTTTGAGACAGGGTTTCTCTGTATAGCCCTGGCTGTCCTGGAACTCACTCGGTAGACCAGGCTGGTCTCGAACTCAGAAATCTGCCTGCCTCTGCCTCCCAAGTGCTGGGATTAAAGGCGTGCGCCACCACTGCCCAGCTTGGTTTTTTTTTTTTTTTTTTAGTTTTCATTTTTTAGAGTTTTAATAAAGGCATGTTTTTAATATTTAGTAAGTAAAACATTCACCTGAAAATACTTTTACTTAATAGGAAATTTCTGAATAGGAAATTAGACCTTGTGCTAACCCCTAGCCCTACAAACATTTTGTTGGGCATTGTGCTCTTTCCCCTTGAAATGGTTCCTGTAGATCTGTGGGGTTCTGATGATAGCTCAGTATAACCATGCTAGAGTTGTGCTGGGGTTGCAGGTGAGAACTAAGTAGAAGTACTTTTAGTTCATGGCATGCATACTTGAAAATACGCTGTGGACCAAGTATCTAATCATCTTTCTCAAGCTTGACTCTTCGTCTCACTTTGACTTAAAGCAACTGATAACGCAGATTGGTAGGTACGGTACATGATGCTTGGTGTAGCCATATTTGGAAAATACATTTGTGTGTTCATGTGTATCTGTCAGGTTCTGTTACTCTGTATGCCCCTCATTTTCTCCATCTACAATTACAGAAGTGTAGTCTAGTTCCTTGAGAGGCTGAGTAGGAGGAGTGCAAGTTCAAGGCCTGCCTGAGAAAAATTGAACGCACAGTCTGTTTTATGAGACTTTGTCTCAGAGTACAAAGAGTGTTGGGGATATAGCTCAGTGATGCAGCATGTTCCTAGCAGGATACGGCTCTAAGTTCAACAACCAGTGTGTGTTCCTCTTGCCCTGGCCCCCAAAAAGCTACAGTGAGGAATTTGTGCCATCTAAGGTTATTAAAATAGCTATGAGCCTAGAGTATAGTGATGTGGAAAGTACAATTTCAAGCCAATCTTAAATTCTCAATTTTTAACTTAAACTCTATAGTACGTCAACATTTATCCCGCTTGCCAACCATTGATCCGAATACAAGGACTCTGCTTTTGTGTGGGTATCCAAATGTTGGGAAATCCAGCTTCATCAATAAGGTAAGTGACTTTTTTTTTTTTTTTTTAAATCAGCGCCCTGGTTAACTTAGGTCAGAGTACTACTGAATTCCCATTGTGGGATTTAGAACGTGCTTGGGAATATTCTGGGTAGTCATTAATAAAGATTGCCCTGTCTTCAGGAGATCCTAATGCCTAAGCAACCAGGTTCCATTGGAAGGTTTCCCTCATTGTCTGAACCTGTATTTAAGTAGTGATTGCCAAGACTACTCATTTTGATTCTTGTGTGCCATACAGTTTGTCAGGAGCTGAGACATCTCAGTTAAGTTTTGTTTGGAGAGTGTTTCATGGTAGTGTTGTGTCAGCTCATTCTGGGAATGCTCTTAGCCTGGGGCACTCACTGAGCTGGAGATTCTGAGGCTAAAGCTACTTAGGTGATTGGTTATCTTGGTGAGTTTGTCAACTTTCATGTTTTTCTTTGTGATAGAGATTTTTTGAGTTAGTCTTCCCCCCCTCCCCCCCTTCCCTCCCTCCCAACCCCCCCCCCTTACTTGCTTTTTTTGGTTGTTGTTTTTGTTTTTTCCTGAGACAGGATCTTGTTATATAGCCTAGGCTGACCTTGATCCTGCTATCCTCTTGCCTCTGTTTTCAGAGTTCAGGGATTATTAACATGGGTTCCATGTCTGAGCTGTGCCTCTCTTTACTTGAGTAGAATTATTAAGCTTTGGTGTGACATTTAAGTAAAAGTAATTTGCTACTTCTGGACATATTAGGGCTCACCTAGTACCAGAACATTTTTCATTTTTGCTTTGAAGCTATGTGGATGTATGTGGGGGTGGGGGAGGGAGGGAGGAGGGGAAGGTCAGAGAACAACTTGCAGGAGTTGGTTCTCTCCTACTATGTGGTTCCTGGAAATTGAACCCAGGTCATCAGGCACCTTTACCTAGTGAGCCACCTTGCTGGCCCAGCAGGTTTTATTTTCGCCTACCAGTTGCCCTGACTTGGTAGCAATCAATGCTCTTAGGGATTCTAAGTGAAGTTTCAAATGCTTGTTGGCTTGCTCTGAATCTGCTGTGACTTTTCTGTGCTCTATGAGGGATGATACAGTGGCCTCTGCCACATGTAGCCTTTTAGATTCTGGTTTAAACTAGTTTAGCAAGATGGAAACTTCAGTAACTACATATCAAACCTTGGCGAACAGAGGGTGGTTAGTGCCCACGGTGCAAGGGAAGAGTAGCCAGGCATTTGCCAAAGTTGATAATATCTTCTATGCAGTTTACTCATGTACAATTCCTTGGGAATTTATTTTCTACCAAAAAGGGGTGTATGTGTGTGTGTGTGTGTGTGTGTATTTGTGGTGCGTACACACGGTGCAGTATGTGTGTGTGTGTGCTTGTTTGAACCCAGGGCCTCACCCATACTAAGCAGTGCCATCACTAGCCTTTTTATCTTGAGCCAGTCTTTCCAGGTTGTCCAGATTGACTTTGTGCCTGTTACCTTCCGGCATCAGCAGTCTGTAGAGCTGGGGCAGCAGCAGCATTGTTGTGTCTTGGTAAAGTCAGGATGCCATGCTTAGATTGTTTGGGGGAAATTGTGGTATGGGACTCTTGTGACTGAAAATACCGCTTTTGGTTTTGTTTCTTCAAGGTGACAAGAGCAGATGTGGATGTTCAGCCCTATGCATTTACCACCAAATCTCTGTTTGTTGGGCACATGGATTATAAGTATCTGCGGTGGCAGGTGAGAGAGAGTCTTGTGTGCAAACAGAACAGACACTGGGCTTTGGTTTAAACTCATGGCTGTCCTAGTTCTGCTTCCTTTGTGTGAGCTACCATACGAAGCTCCTGGATTGGGTTTTTGTCTTATAAAGAATGTTTACTCTTTTTCATGTCCCTTTGTCTGTTTTATTGTGGGCAGTTGTCAGTGTCATATTTTACTCACTTGTTTTGCTAGAACTGGTTTGGATGTTTGAGAATGACTCTGGGACCATCTGAGACATTTTTGAGTGAGGGTACTTTGGTTAATAAAGCCTGGTTGTTAGGTTGTAGATACCCCAGGGATTTTGGATCATCCTTTGGAGGATCGGAACACCATTGAGATGCAGGCCATCACAGCCCTGGCCCACCTCCGAGCTGCAGTTCTGTATGTGATGGATTTGTCTGAGCAGTGTGGACATGGGTTGAAGGAGCAATTAGAACTCTTCCAGAATATCAGACCTCTGTTTATCAATAAGGTAAGTGTGCTAACTAGAACTTTAATTTACAAGCTAGCACCCTCTTACTCGTGGGTAACAGGTTCTAAGACCAGTGAAACCATAGATGGTACTGAGTGTTCTATATTCCTTGATCACAGATGTTAGTGATGTGACAGTTGATGTGATAACTTACATAAACCAAGTGGCTGGCTGCCTGGTATCATGTACAGTAGTAAGCCAGACAGAGGGATGATTTGTGTCCTGGTTGAAATGCAGCACTAAGATAAGACTTCATTGCACTGCTCAGGACGGGACACAGTTTAAATTTACAAAATGCTTATTTATAGAACTTTCCACTTTGTATTTTATAGCAATAGTTGATTTCAGCTTGGGTAAATGAAATTGCAGAAAGCAAAAACATGGACAAGGAGGGGGGACTACATTATTCTGTAGTGTAAAGTAATAGTTTCTTTTCTTCCTTGCTAGCCTCTTATTGTTGTAGCAAACAAATGTGATGTGAAGAGAATAGCCGAACTTTCTGAAGAAGATCAGGTAAGTCACTCATACATTAGTTATATATACTTCCTTTTAAAATAGCTCTGAGTCCTTAGAAAGACACAGAACGACTTTTAGTGCTTCCAGAACAGGTTTCTATTCTAGAACTAAGATGATCGATCCTCAGTGGTTTGGTAGTAGGACATTACAGTTTCCTGATTCCTGCTGTGTCCAGTCTGGAGAAACACCTGTGTTTGGGGGCTGCTACACTGAACCACTGGGAAATGTGCTTCCTTAGGAAAGGACTGCTTTTAAATTGTACCCAAGGGGAAGCCAGGTACCGAGAGGTGTGCTTTTATCTTTTCCAGGCCTTAGGATATCAGATGCTCTAGGGAAGTATTTCCCACAAGTTTCTCTTTAGAACGAGTGTAAATATGGCTTACTTGATTATATAAAGGAATATGTAGCTAAGTAAGTTGACATGTGAGTAAAAGAGAACACCTTCTAAGCTCTTAGAAGATGGCCTTTTCAGAGCTATGAGCATGTTAGTGTCTGCCAGCATTATCCATGAGGTAGCCAGCATTGGTAGTCATAATTTTTCAAATAATTTAACCCTTTTAGTAGACAGTTTTCAGGATAAATGCTTTGAGAGACATGTACTTGTGCAGTCTCACTGTGGTCCCTGAGTAGAAGTTTTCTTCACGATTACCCTGTAGCTGTCAGAAATTAATACCCTTGGGCTCACAGACTCCTGATCCAAACCCCTATGGTAGAACAGTATGAATTTGCTCAGATGGCTTCTGAAACCAATACACTAGAGTGAAATATTTAAACCAAGGTGGAAGGGACTTCTGTTTTTGGGAAGGATTAGCTTGTCTAAGTTGTCTTCTTAGGGCAGAACACAGCAAGTTTTGGTTTTGTTTGGTTACTTAATTTATTTAAAGACAAGTTTAATGTAGGTTAGGAAGGCCTTGAACTCTTGATACTCCTGTCTGTCTATCCCATGTGGTAAGATTAGCTGGCAGCACCCTGTATTCTTTAAATTACTAATTATCTAACACTGATGTCAGAGAATCAGTTCATCCTAAAAAGCAGAGAAACAAAAATTATAAGTAATCTTAACTTGTCAGTCTAAATGGCATTGAGGAGAGGAGGAGGGGGAGGAAAGTGAGTAGCACAAGGAAGGCTTAAGAAGTGAAGTAAAAAGTTGTCGGGCGCTCAGGCTTTGGGGTCAGCTCAGGTCCAGCTTCACTACTCAGCAGTGTGGTAGGAAAGTGAGCTACCCTGCTGAGGCCCAGCTGTCTGGCTAGTGAAGGTAATGCTTGGATAAATGATTACTCTCCAGCTGTTAGTAGAGAACTGACATCACCGTAGGTAGGCCATCTTTCTGGTCCCTGATTCCTCTCTCTAGTAAAGACAGCGCCTACATCTGCAGTTGTTGGCATTACATGAATTGGGAAGTGGATGCTGTTAAACATCTACAGCTTGCTTAACAGTTGTAATATAGAGCCTGTCCTTTAACAGTGGGGTTATTGTCACATGGAAGTAACAATTAACAGTTAGCTCATGACTGGGAGGCTCAGTGACTGCTTTACACACAGTGTCACTTGTTAAATGACAGGTGGATTTGTGCTCAGAGACCCCAGCTTTCTCTAAAATCATGCTCTAGTCCCTTGATAATAGAAACTGACCTTGTTCGTGGGAATTTTTAATGTCTATTAGAAGTTGGTCACCTGTCTCCAAACTAGAGAGATGTTTGTAGTTGTAAACATGGCATTTGAGAAGGGCATATTGAGTCCCTTCTTTAGAGTCTTAGTGATTCATAAAATGAAACTTAATAAATAGTTTCTGTTTTCTAAAGAATTCTCTTGGGCTATTTTAGCAGAAACTTTCAAATACGAAATAACATTGAAAACATCTTTTGAAAAGTTGATCTTGTCTGCATTAGGAGCTGTATACATCAGAAATACCAGCAGATGGAGGCTGAGGCAGAAGCTAGCTTGTGTTACATAGTGTGTGTGTTCTAGGCTAGCCTGGGCTACAAGTCAAGAGCCTGCCTTTTTAAAGCAAAACACAATAAAAGTTGGTCATTCGCTTTTCTTGCATTTTTCCTCCTGAGAAATTACTTGAGTTTATGGACATAGGTTAGTGGGAGCTTAGAGCTGAATTCAGTCCCTAGTGCTGGGAGTTGGGGAGTAGAGGAGATCTTACAGTGTCCCATAGAGCTTTTGATTTACATGACTTGGATCTGGTTTGATTCTGTGGAGGTTTGTTTGTTTGTTTTATTTTTGAGGCAGCTTTTTTCTGTGTGGCTTCAACTGTCCTGGAACCTCAATCTAAACCAGGCTGGCCTCGAACTCAAATCCACCTGGCTCTGCTGTCCCACTTATTTATTTTTATATTTTTAATTGTATAAATTATTGTAATAATTAACTTAAAGCTATTTGTTCTTCAGGAGTTAAAAACAAATCCTAGCTGTCAAGCAGATAGTGTTTGCAACTTCCATTTGCAAAACAGTGTACTTTGTCATCTGGGAAACTGGAAAACAGTAATGCACCTTTCACTTCCTTTCTTTTGAATTCCTAGAAAATATTTCTAGACTTGCAGACTGAAGGATTCCTTGTCATTGAGACCAGTACCCTGACTGAGGAAGGTGTCATTCAAGTTAAAACAGAGGTTGGTGCTTCCTTAACTCAGAGCCATTGCTTTTGTTTTAGAAAGATCAGTTGTGGTGGGAAACTGTTTTTTAGGAATTACTAACACTGGAAGTAATTTAGCTGGGTTTGTTTGTTTTCTTTTCTTTTGTTTTCCTTGAATAGGATTAGTTGTTTAAGTTGTTAGAGTCCTATGGGGAGCCTAGTTGCCTGCTGAAAGAAAATATGTAGGCTGTTCCACACCCGGCTGTCAACCTTTGGATGAGTGGAGGACTTGATTCTTCCTTGTAATGTGAGGCTGGGGACTGGAGTCGAGTGGCTTTGTGACTCTTGTTTTTGTGCTTTCTTAGGCTTGTGATAGGCTTTTGGCTCATCGAGTAGAAACGAAAATGAAAGGAAATAAAGTGAATGAGGTTCTGAACAGATTGCACTTAGCCGTGCCAAACAAGAGAGATGATAAGGTAAGGGGCCCTTGGAAGGAGTCAGATTGTGTTGCTCTGCTTGGTCGGATGCTGCTTGCCACATGTCTTCCTGGTGTTGCAGATTGTTACACGTGTATACAAATTCACATTTTTCATTCATGGTAAAGTCACATGTCCATGTGGGAAGTAAAGCGCATGTTCATAGCTGAAGTAAAGATGGGTTCTGTGTGTGCGCCCTCTCCTCCCTATCAGCATCTGTTGCTAGTAACTTTGTCCCTTAGAAGTGGCTTGAGTGTAATTATCACACATCACCATTCCCCCTGTTTTTTAAATTGAGCCAGTGGAAATATATATAATTTTTTATTAGATATTTTCTTTTTTTACATTTCACAGGGTATATATACCCTTTCCCGGTTTCCCCCAACCCCCCCCCCCCACTTCTATGAGGGTGTGCCCTCCACCCACCCACTTCCCCCCATCCTGGCATTCCCCTACACTGGGGCATCCAGCCTTCACAGGGCCAAGGGCCTCCCCTCCCATTGATGTCCCAAAAGGCCATTCTCTGCCACATATGCAGCTGGAGCCGTGTGTACTCTTTGATTGGTGATTTAGTCCCTGGGAGCTCTGATGGGGGGAAGTATATTTTTTTATGTTTTTATTATCTGCCATTATAAGCAGTCTACATATTTATATGTGTGTTACTACAAATAAATCTATATTTCAGGATATAAGTTCCTAAAGTTTTTTCTTTATCACTTTTTTTTCCCTTGCCTGCTTTGTAAATATGTACAGAGTGCATTCCTGGTGTCTGTGGAGGCCAAGGGCTTATCAGATCCCCAAGATTGAAGTCCTAGTTCGTGGTGAGCCGCTTGAGTCCTGGGAACTGACTTGGGACCTCTGCAGGACCGACACATTCTCTTAACCACAAAACTGTCTCTTCGGCCCCTCTTTATTTTGTTGTTGTTTTTAAACATCTCAAAGCTGCACATTTTCAGAATATTAACATCACTACTTCTTTCATAGTTGTTAGATTTTGGGCTCTAGAGAGAACCAGCATAGATTTTGGGCCCTAGAGAGAACCAGCAACATTCATTTCTAAAATACTTGACTGTCATTTTCCTTTGAATTTTCATGGTTTTGTTTCTGCTGTTCACTTTCATTTCTCTTCTGAATAGAAGCTTTGTGTGTGCTGAATTGATTTTTTTTCCTGAGGAAGGTGTGGTTTACTTCTTGTGGGCCTCGTTTCATGGGCTTGTCATTGGTCTCAACTAATTAATGAATTTAATGCTGTTGAATCCTAAACATACTTCAGTTTATGTCTGTTTCTCATTCTACTGTTTTCCTATGTGTTTTTCTTCTGTGTTTTAGGATAATTTTTATTGTTTTTTTTTTTTCTCGAAATAAACTATAGAATCAGTTGTGGGGATTGTCTCATCTCTTTTGCCCACTCTGTCTCCAAAGCTCACTGCCCAGAATGCACTTTGTTTTAGTTGGTTTGGGTTGTTTTGTGTCTCCCTTCCAGACTGCCTTTGTTTTTGTGTTTGGTTCCTTTAAGTTTCTCTCATACTTGGGAAGGCATTTCATATACTTTAAACAATGTCTTCTTAGGAGAGACCCCCTTTCATCCCAGAAGGAGTGATAGCTCGAAGGAAGAGAATGGAGATTGCAGAACCCAAGAAGAAGAGGGTAGGTTACTGGACCTCTTTGTCTGGATTTCTTATGGAATGAGATAGAAGGCCTGCCTGTGCACCAGAAAAAGTAACGCTGGTTGGTGGGTACATAACAGAGGCCGGGGCTTTAGCCGTGTAAAACAGACTTGATGCAGGAGATTGCAAACTGAGTGTGCCCAGGGTTGGGCCCTGTAAGATTCAGGGACACATTGGTGAATTCTTAACATACTCTTTTATTTATTTTTTTTTTTTTCCGAGACAGGGTTTCTCTGTGTAGCCCTGGCTGTCCTGGAACTCACTCTGTAGACCAGGCTAGCCTCGACTCTCAAACTCAGAAATCCGCCTGCCTCTGCCTCCCAAGTACTGGGATTAAAGGCGTGTGCCACCACCATCCGGCCTTAACATACTCTTGAATGAAGCTTTTCAGTTGATGTCATACTGCAGTGTACAAAGTCCATGAGATACATAGTCCACTAGGTGGGCAAAACAGCCCTCCTGCTAGACATAGATGCACAAAAGGTCAGAGACTGTCATAAATAAAGAGATTGCAAAGAATCTGGGCACATAAATGCTAAAACAAACTTTTGGGGATTTTCTTTGCAGGAACGAGATCTTGAGCTGGAAATGGGAGATGATTATATTTTGGATCTTCAGAGTAAGTAAGGTGTTTTGGAATGTCAGTTGTATGAAGTGTTTCAAAAAAGAGAGGAACTCAGTGAGAAAAAAAAGAGAGTCTTCCAGTGAGTTTATTGGTTTATAAGCTTTTACTTTTTTCTTTATTTTTTTTATTTATATGAGTGCATTGTAGCTGTCTTCAGACACACCAGAAGAGGGCATCACATCCCATTCCAGATGGTTGTGAGCAACCATGTGGTTGCTGGGAGTTGAACTCAGGACCTCTGGAAGAGCAGTCAAGTTTTTACTTCATCCCCCACGTTTTTACTTTTTCGAAGATTAGAAGTTGCAGACTTAGAGAGCTGTATAAAATGTCTTCCATATTGTTTCCTGTTGATTCAGATGAAAGGATTATTTTTTTGTAGTATTTAGAACTTGGACACATGGGTCAGTGTTATTCTTGTTAGTAGTAAGTTAAGTGGTGTTGAACACAGCTGTTTTGTTAGGCTATAAAGTGATTTTACTTGGTATCCAGAAAGTCATTTTGATGGCACAGTACTTGAAGATACTAGAAACTACTATAAACATAACTCCTTTTTCTTTTTTAATGTTAGAATACTGGGACTTAATGAATTCATCTGAGAAATATGATAAGATACCAGAGATTTGGGAAGGCCACAATGTTGCTGATTATATTGATCCTGCTATCATGAAGGTATGCAGTGCTTTTTAAATTACCTTCCCCACTTTGACATGACTAGAAGATGCAACACAACTTCACCAACTTTTACTCCTTGTTCTTGTTTTGTTGTGTGCCCTCAGACATCCTTCTGCCCTGTTCTCTGCTCTCTTGGAGACATCACTCCTCCATTCAGACGACACTGGTCTCTGTTCCTTTGTTCTGTGTGGTCCTGGTGGTGCCCAGCCTTCCACACCGAGCTGCAGTGACTCTGTCAGTGTGCTTGTGTTGATGCTCCAGTTCGGAGATCCTGTCACTGGCTCTATCCTTCCCACTCCCCCTTTGTGTGTGTGTGCGTGTGTGTGCATGTGTGCGTGTGCGCTGCTGGGGAATCAACCCAAGATTTTGTGCTTGTTAGGCATTGTCACTTTGCTACATCCCCAACCTGTATATGTATTTAAAGTTTCATTTTGTAACCAGTGTAGTTGTGTTTAATTTAGTATGCTATTTGAGAGACAATGAATGGGAGTTTGTACAAATTTATTTTGTGTATCTGCTGGGAACACAAGGGAATGAGGGACGGAGTCCCTACATTTTTTATCTTTAAAGATGAAATGGAACTGGCAGAAAATGATGCATACAGTGTTCATGCTGTCTCTTTGGCCTTCATACATACATCCCCTTTTCCATGAGATTAACTGTGTTCAGATGAGGCCCAGTTGTGACTAGACCATACAACATTCTCGTATCTTCAGGTGCTTAAGGAAACATGATTCCTGTAAATATGTTGGTTGCTACACTTACTTCTATGCAAGTTTATCTTTGTTAATTTTATAATTCTTTTTAAAGAAATTAGAAGAGTTGGAAAAGGAAGAAGAGCTAAGAACAGCTGCTGGGGAGTATGACAGTGACTCTGAGAGTGACGATGAGGAAATGGTGGAAATCCGACAGCTGGCGAAACAAATTCGAGAAAAGAAGAAGTTGAAAATTCTACAGTCCAAAGAAAAGAATACCCAGGGACCCAGGATGCCCCGAACTGCTAAGAAGGTCAGTCTCGAGCCTTGCAGAGGCAAGATCCAAGCTTGCATGCTGTATCCTTTGTAATCCTCCGTGAGAGACAGGCTTCTACTACCTGGGGATGGCAGGTGGTGGCACCCCCAAGGTTCTCGGGTATACTGACTTACAAGGGTCTTTGCTCTGGGCTGTTAGATTCTGACACTTGAATCTTCTCTCCATGCATTGCCACTCCAAGTGCATCCCTGTTACAGGCTGAGTCACTGCAGTGATGTGAATGCAAACTATACTTGACGTTTAGGATGTTAGATAATTGTTAAATAGGCTCTCATGTAGTCCAGGCTAGCCTTGAGCCTCTGTAGCCAAGGAGGTCTTGACTCCGCCTGCTCCGTAGGTACCAGGACTACAGCTGTGTGCTTCTATCGCTGTGCTAACATTTTTATATTACTTTTTCTATTGATTGAGACTCCTGATCCATAAGGCACTTTATCAGTCCCTGTTACTGATGAGGATAGGGAGAACCACTCTGTAGGTGTGAGTGGATCAGAAGACATCAAGATTCTGTGCACTTCTTGGCTTTGTATTGGGATGTCATTGCCTCTTCTGTTGTCTGAATGACAAATTAGGCCCATGTCACAGGACTGACTGCCTCTGTGTCCGTAGCCCTCCTGAAAGTTGAGGTAAAGGAGTGGCAGGTTCCCAAAAGAGACAAGGTACTGGGTGGGCAGTTAAAATATAATGGGAGGGAAGGAAAGGGATCTGACATTCCTGGTTTGAAAATGCTGTTTTCATGTGATGGAGGCTGCTAATATTTATAGACGTGTTTCTCCTGGTGCTTAGCTGTCTGAGAAGAGAGTCTGGTTCATGAGTCTGTCTTACCTCAACTGTAGTGCCTTCTCTAGCCTATGCAGCCATTCTCTCATCCCCGAGAACATAACAATCTTGCCATGGCTTCTACGTAGCAAATGCACTGTTTGTTTTCATGGGATTTAATGGAACTGTCCAGAAACTAAAGTTATCCCAACTGGAAAAAAGGCGTTTTACAGTAGGTAATATAATACATCATTGTAAAAGGTCCACTTTGAAGATCCAGAGCAAGAACAAACTCAGTTCTTCTCACTGTATGCTGACAACATGGATCCTTTATTTGACCCCCAGATTGGGTGGGTGGGTGGAATCTCCATCATCAAGCCATCAATCAGCCCTGCAGCAGACTCTGCTGAATATCCCCTCAGTTCACTCACTTCTCACGCTATCTAAATGAAGGTAACATCAAAACCGAGACTAAAGGCCAGATGTTCTAGTCCTTTCTGTTCCAGTCCCTGAGGAAAGGATAAGGGCTGTGAGCCTTCGGATCCAGGAACAGGAGCAGAGCGTGTGTCTACCTGCTTACTTATCTGTCGATCACAGTATCACCTGTATAGTTCTCCCTGTCTTTTTTTTATTATTATTAAATTTCAATAGACATTTTACTTAAAACAAGCTATCTTTCCTTCCTCACTTAGGTTCAACGGGCAGACTTAGAGAATGAGATGCGTAGTCTTGGTGTGGACATGGATGATAAAGACAATGTAAGTCTGGAGGGGGCAGCGTGGTTTCAGATGATCTGGGTTTTTGTTGTTTGAGACATTGTCTTCCTGTGTCGCCCAACCTGCCTTCAACTCAGTATTTCCCTGCCTCTAGTTCTCCATTGCTGTAGTCAGGCATGTGCTACCAAACTCTGCCCACAGTCAGGTGTTGCTTAACAATGTGGATACCTTCTGAGAATCTGTCACTAGGTGATTTTACTGATGTGAATGTCATAGCATGCACATGATGTACAGAAATGTAGCTGGTGGTGAGTATGTGTACTACCTCAGTTATTTGGAGTAGGAGGTTAACCTTTCAACATACTCATTTTATGTGGACCAAGGCCATTGTCATTGTTGCTCATGATTGTTCATCAGTAGAGAACATTAGCACACAGGTTGTGCAAGAGGTATGGCTTGAGCGCCATCTTACCACCAGCGTGGGTGCTGAGCTGGACACTCCTGAAAACTTCTCAGGAGGGACAGGAGCAGCATAGCAGTGCTTTTGACCCTTAACCCTGGCTTCAGACTAGACCCCCTGCTAGTAAATCTCAATAGGCCTTCCAGAGTCTTACACTTGCATGATAATGGTTCTTAAGACCTTGGCTGTCTTCTCTTCTTGTTGGACTAATTTTGATTGTTACCAAGAGCACTGTTTGTGTGTTTCAGGCCCACTATGCAGTCCAGGCAAGAAGATCTCGAAGTGTCACTAGGAAAAGAAAACGAGAAGAATCTGTTCCACCCTCTTCCATAGCCCGGAGTCAGAGTCGGAGTTGCTCTAAAACTCCACGAGATGTTTCTGGTCTTCGGGATGTCAAGGTTTGTTTCTTTGCTCTGGGACAAGAGAAAATAAGAGCCTTCAGGGTGTTTTCCTTTATAGGACCCCCAATAAGCACCAGCCAGCACTTGAGCAGGGTTGAGATTAAGAGACTAGCTGTTCATTCCACCTTCCACTTTGGAGCATCCTTTGGAGAGGAACTTGCACCAGAAGCAGTTGGATCCCCTGGATAGGTGTTCTGGCAAACCATTCTGAAACTCTTAACCTAGAGGAAGACAGAGACATGACCTCATAAAGTATGGATAGTCTAGGCTTAGGTTTCAATTATTTGCAAAATACTAGGAAGAGGCCCCATTTCGCCTTTGAGGAAATAGCCTGGGAGAAACTTGGTTCATTTACATCATTAGAGGAATTGTTTTCCCTTCGAAAACAATTTCCCTTTCTCATAGGAATTGTTTTCCTATGGTATTATTTGTAATGTCTTTTTCAAAGATGCAATAGGTGTTTAAAATCTTACTGAAACTTATTTTTGAGAAAAAACTTTTTTTTAAAATTTAGTATTTTGAAAATCCAAATGTAAGAGAAAACCTATGTAAACTGGCAGACTCTCTAATGGAATCCTGAAGTTTTCATTTCAGATGTCATTTCCATCTGGAAGTCTAGGAAGTGAGTGTTGAGTTGAGGCAGTGTTTTACTATGAATCCTAGGCTGGCTAAGAATTCAGAGTGGTTACTTCCAGGTCCAGCTGGATTACAACTGTGCACTATGGAACTGTGTTGTTGTTTTTTTTAATATAATTTATTTTTTTCAAATTGTAATTTATACTCATTCACACAGGGGTTATAAACACAGAAAGGCAGTATGTGGGGAAGGGGATGACACTGGAGTGTGGGTGTTCAGGGGGAATACAGATATCTTTCAGAACAGGGTATCTGCTGGGTGAAGGTTCAGGGGACAGGTCGCTTTGGCTCTGCCTATGATTCGCTAGTCCTTATCTAAGTTGGTATTATCTGCCAAGGCTACCTATTTACAAGGTCTATGACTACTCAGGCTGGTAATTTTCCATGAAAGCTGCCTGTTTACAATAGCTTATAGCCATCTGTTTCAGTGTTTTTCCACAGAGACCCAAGATTTGGTGTTAGTATACATGTATGACAGACCTATTGCTGATTTTAGGCCTATGGCTGATTTTAGGCCTTCAGTGTGTAAGCAGGGATGTCCCTGACATCTCCTCCCTTCTCTAAGTATAGAAGGGCTGTGGCTATTCTAATCTTGCGAAGGCGGGGATAGAGGCCTGACCTCCAGTAATTGAAGGGGACCTTGTAATGGCTCCGGTCCTCCCTGTCGTTGTCCAGTGAGGCATGAGGGCCATACCCGTCCCGATGTCTTTTTCCTGGAGAGGGGATACTTTTGACATCAACCCCTATGCAGGAACTGTGGGTTTTAATACTAGCATTGACATGAGTCCGATTTGGCAGCATGTGCTCTCATGGTCCTGAGTTTCTGTGTGTTACTCTGAAAGTCTGAACAGATACTCTAGTCTTCTAACTGTAAAAGGACCACGGTTTCCTCAGGTAATCATTGAGTTTCTGCAGATAGTGTGGTGGTCTGAGAGAAAACAGTAACTGTGACAACCTGGTCTTTATAGTTAATATTGGCTTTGGTAAAATGGTTCCCAGGTAATTACAATGCAGGACAGAAATGTGATTTTCATTGATTGTGTTCTTCTGAATAGATGGTGAAGAAAGCCAAGACTATGATGAAGAAAGCTCAGAAGAAGATGAATCGCTTGGGGAAGAAAGGGGAAGCAGATAGACATGTGTTTGATATGAAGCCCAAGCACTTACTCTCTGGGAAGAGGAAAGCTGGCAAAAAAGACAGGAGATAGTGTCCTCTTCAGTTGGAATAGTTTAATTAGACTCTTAATTATTTCTGGGTGTGCTATAGTGTGTTTTATAGAATTTGGAATCACCATCTGTTAACCAAAAGAAACAATGGAAATGACTTTTAAATGCTTGTTGCTTTGCTGAAAACTGGTAAAGCCAACTAAGCGTGCAGCGCTGTGGTTGCTGAGCAGTTTCGGATGTCTATGCACAGAACGAGCTGTACTTGAGACACACCTCTCTCACAGCCGCGGGACTCATATTGCAGAAAAGATTTATTAGTGTAAGGAAGCTGCTTTGGTTGGGGGAAAACTGTTTTGTAGTGGGACTTTTGTCACCCACAGTACCTATTTTTGTTAAAGTACCCTCCTTTGGGAGGCCTAAGCAGAAGGCTATACCCCACATTTAGGAGTGCGTCAGAACTTAAATTACTTTCTTAAATTATTTTCTAAACCTGTAGTACAATGTATCATTGTAACTTCAACTATTTTATCCAAAGTAAACATTCAGCTAAAACATAGTTTTGATTATTTACATTTTGTTTGATTTAATTGCAAGTCACTTGATCGCCAAAAGGAGGGGACGGAGAATAGGACTTTGCTTTTTTGTTCTTAGAGCAAAAATATTTTTTTAAAGGAAATAAGTGCCTGGGGTATAGGCTCAAAACCAAAAAAAGTCTTCTTTCATAAACAATTGCCAAATTAAGATTGGTGTCCTAGAAAGTACAGAAACATGTATGAGAGGGATGCCAGTGAGGCTGGAACTACAGCCCTGTCACAGATTAGAAGACAATCACCAGACTGTCAGTGCTTCCTGTCAGAGCGTTACCCAGTAACGTACACACGTATTACATACTATTGAGACTTCTTTTTTTAAATTGGTTTTTTACTGTGCTTTAGTTCTCTGGTGAAATTTGATGTCTTGATCTATTTTTTAATGTCTACATGAGTAAAGTTTATAATCATTGGTATGCCTAGTAACTTGATTAAATCATAGAATATTCATGTGACATAGTAGAAGTCTTAGACAAAGCTTTTTTTTCTTAACAGAACTTACATTTATTCAAATTTCTGAGACATTAGTGAGAAAGGGTAGAGAGACTGGAAAAATTAATGAGAGGAGAAAAACAAGACTTAGCTAGAGTTTGTATTTCCTGATGGCAGAAGTCAGGAAAACTCAACAGAAATTATGAAACCAAGGTTGTTGACATACATAATAACAGGTTTTTCTAAAGACATCTCAAACAGTGCTGCTCAAAACAAAAGAGTGAAGCATATTTAGGCACAGAATGTTTGTGACCTTGAGCTTAACTGTTGGGGATCTGTTCTCATTGCTGTTAGAACTAGAACTGGCTATGAATGCTAGCTTGGGAGGTAGGCACTGGGCTACCTCTCTGCCTACCAGGTCCTTTAGCAGTGCTGGTTACTAGCGGGAGAAGCTGGAATGTGTGTTCTCCCTCTAGAGGGAGAGACGCTAAATAATCTTTAAACAAGAAAAGTGTTAGAGGACTCATTCTGATTGTAAGCATATACTACAAAGTAATAGTAATAGCCTTGTGATACTGTCATAAAGACAGTCATATAGATTATTGGAACAAAGTAGCACACTCAGAAATAATTAACAGTGTACCTAAACAGTGTACCAGAATTAACAGTGGGGAAAGGACTGTTTCTCCAGCAGCCATGTTGGGAAATGTTAACATATATGTCCAAAAGTCAGACTGTATCTTACACCACATTAGAAACTTTTAAAAGCCTAAGACTCCCAAACTACACACCTTTCAAGAAAGCAGTAAAACCATCATAACATTGGATTCAACAATTTCTTGGCTATGACAACATAGTTATAGGCACTAAAGGACTTTATAACTAAAGTACATAAGTAGGACTACATCGGAACTCTTCGGTATCAAAGGAGACTACACACAGAATGGGAGAGGAGGTTTGCAAGTGGCATGTAACACGAGTATGAGTAATACATGGTTTGTAAAATTGAACCCTGACCAACTCAAATATTGGCTAGTGTCTTGAATATATATATTTCTCCAAACAAGATAGTCAAATGTTCAAATAGCTACAGGGAAGCCTTTTCAGGTTCACCTAATCATTAGGGAAATAAAAACCAGTGAGAAACCGCTTCTGCACACCATCAAGATGGCCAGATCGAACAATAGCCAAGAAGGGGGAAGCATGGAAAGCCACCCTCCCTTGTCCTTCCCTCATGTTCGTCAGTACAGTGTTTACCTAACATGTAACATGCATGGGGATAGACAGTCACAGGTGGCCATGAGAAACCTCATCATGCCTTGCTGTTTATCCTGCTGGTACTTAAGTGATCAATCCTTCCTTGCTTGAGAAAAATAAATGGTTAGTAACCACTAATAAAGTGATCTGAAATTAGGGTCTATTTCCATCAAGGTAAAAATCATTGTTCACAGTGGATAGGTATGACGCCTATTCTCGGTTGCCGACTTGACTACACAGGGAATTAACTAAAACCCAAAAATGGAGAGCACAGCTGTGAGGCATTTTTGCTTAATTTGAAGTTGGAAGATGCACTGCAAATCTAGATCTTTGAGGTCAGAAGAAACACCTTTAATCCAGATCTTTTGATGTGGGAAGACATAACTTTAATTATGGTTACACCTTCTGGAAGCCTATATAAGGACATAGAAGGAGTGTCTTGCTCATGGCCTGCTTGTTCTCTCTGGGCTAGCAAGTTCATTCCTTCATTAGGATCAGAGCCTACTTCTTTAGGATTCCAGCATATACCACAGACCAGCTGAGAAATCCAGCCTCATGGACTGAACAATTACTGAGTTCTTAGACCTTCTATACATAGGCAGCCATTATTGGATTAGCTGGAGTACAGTCTGTAAATCATTTAATGAATCCCTTGAGTGTGTGTGTGTGAGAGAGAGAGAGGGGGGGGGGGGAGTCTTTAAACTGACAAGGGCAGGTAGGGAACAGTGCTAACATGGTCTTAGCAGTTGCAGACATCTTGTCTGTAGCACATAAGGATGGAGAATGAGGTAGGTGATCTCAACACTGCAGGGAAGCTATTTGGGGGAAAACAGATTTGCAATCAGCCTTAGAAGGTCAGAGATGACAGAAAAAAGACTTAAGATTCTTCTTGGGAATTCCAGCACAAAAATATACTGAGTCTAAATGTTTCATCAGGACAAGGGATATGGCAGAAAAGACATTCTGGGCTTTTAATGTTAGAATCCATTCACTCCAAGTCAGTCCTGTTCACTTCTGAATTCATTATAGGAATAACGATCCCTACTCAAGGGAAAATTGGGCAACATCCACTGGATGTTTTTAATTTTCAGGACAATTGCCTAAGCTTGGGGTAGTGGCACATGCCTTTAATGCAAAACCTGGGAGGCAGAAGTAGATGGATTTTGAGTGAGATGCTAGCCTGGTCTACAGTGAACTGTAGGATAGGACAGCCAGAGCTATATAGTGAGACCCTGTCTTGAAAAAAAGAAAGAAAAGAAAATGACCTAATACAACTACAGGTAGGAAAGAATTTGCGAAGCAGTAGAATACAATGTGGTTTTTGGTTTCTGTCTTTTTTTTTTCCCCTTCAGTAGGGAGTTATGAATAGTTGAGCCACCATGTGAGTGCTGGGGTGGAACCTGGAAAAGCAAGGGCAGCATGTGCTCTTAGCTGCTGAGTCATTTCTCAGCCCCAATCCCTGCTTTGAAAATTATTTCTCTATACCCCTCAGAGTCCATATATCTTGTCAGGCTCCACAAATGGAGACACATCCTCTAAATGGGGCCACCAGGGGAACAGGAACTCTTCTACCATGCTTCTGAACCATGGGGTGATCTTCTCTTCTCCACGGGCCTCCCTGTCCAGTAGCTCCTGCACGTCCTCCTGGCTCATATAGCAGTAGCTTCTCACTTCCCTTGCATCTGGGTTCAGCATAAGGTCTTTCCTCACGAAGAGAAGGTAGCCAATCTCATGATCTCCCCAGACAGCATCTGATTGACACTTGTGGTATTTTCGGGACATGAAGATTATGTCCTTTATGGAGATCTGTTAAAAGTTGGAACAGTATTCATTCAATAATAGAGAAATTAGACATTTAGATAGAAAGCAGCTGTTTCTTTCCTCATTCCTTTCCAGAGTACCACACAAGGATGTAAGCTTTAATGAAATGGTAGGTAGATCACAATGAAGAGAGCACTGACTGCTGGGTTTCATTCCCAGGCCACTATGGCTTCCTTTTTCACTTAGAATGAAGACCATGTATATACAGGACGTGAGACTAACCACAGTTACGCACAGTAGGACATACAGGTATGTGGAAATAGTTCTTTTCAGAAAAGAAATGAAAACACTGGAGGACTGGTAATGGTAGCACTTGCTTTTAATCTCAGTACTCCTGAGGCAGAGGCAAGCAAAACATGAGTTTGAGGTTAGCCTGGCTTACAAAGCAAGTTCCAGGTCAGCCAGGCTTACACACACACACCACACACACACACACACACACACACACACACAGAGATCCCTCCTTTAAAAACCAACCACCACCACTCACGCTTTAGTACAGTGATTCTTTTGACAGCCTGTCTTGTGGACCAAGCTTGGACACTTCCACAGGAAAGCTGTTTCCCATGAAAGACAGAAGCCATGTTAGCCCAACAGTCACTCCCTGAGTCAGCGTTTTGATGGATGAAA